TAATTTTGTGATTTTTCATCATGGGAAATGACAACCACTTTTTCTATAGCAGACCTTGAAGCCTAACCACAAAATAACTTGAGTACCATTTAGCCACTTGGCAGAGAGCAGAGATTTAAGGCTCAAATCAGTCAAATTTCACTTTCCTTTATAAAGGGAAGATATATAAAATATTGAGACTTTTTAGGCATTCTCAGTCAGATTTGGATGTGAGTCATGATATGCATGTTTTAAGCATGCTTACAGAATTCTAGCAACTTATCCCAAAGCAAAGAAATAATAATCTAGAGACTAATATAGTAATTTTTGATGGTAAAAATATGAGGAAGAATCTTGATTCTGTGTCATATCTATTTTGATACTAATTAACAAATATGAAACTCATTCCTATCATCTGCTTTAGACTACAATGATTAGTCAGTCTTTACACTCAGAAGCTCATTAACACTTTTAAACTGGAAATATAAAGATTTGGTTTTTGATTTTAGTAAATAGTCTTATATTGTTCAGATTGCTTCATTAAGTCTCAGGAAGTCTCTTGCTTTATTGATCCTTCTTTCTAACCTCCTCAGACTAATCCTGTATCTTTGGCTTGGGTACTGTCTGTTCTCTAGACTATTCTTCAAGTCTATGCTTATATTTCTTTGATTACTTATAATTCTTCAGCACATATTGCCTGTGTATCATTTTCAAGCCATCAAAACACATGATTCATGTAAATCTTAAGTGGACTTTAGTCAAACATTTTGACGGAGTCATTAATGAGAGAACGACTGTGATGGAAAACGGATTTGAAATATTTGTGAGGAATAGGAGATTACAGAAACTTTTACAAAAAAGTATTGGAACAAGATTGCTAGGTCAGATGCAGACGTACTCAGGATAGGACAGGACAACAGAAGCATAAAATTTGGCAACCTTTTCTACCAAATATAAATCTGTAAGTTAACATGATATTCTGGAAGCTAAACCTGTTCATTATTAGGCTTGTTAGTTTTTAATTTAAGATGCTTTGACTCCTATCAAATTTTAAACAGCAAATGCATATCTCATAAATTATAATAAAAACTTAGAAGTTCTTCAGTGGGTTGTTGATGTTCCATTATGCTATTGAAAGTATATGTTATATTTGTTTCTTATTTCCAAATCTTAAAATTATTAATATTTTTGTGATACTAGAAGTTGAGTACAGGGTTCTTTCATTTAGCGACATTCCCAGCTACCTCCTCTTTTTACTGTTTTGGGACAAACCCTGTGACTAAATTAATTAGGCTGTACTTGAACTTGTGATCCTCCTGCTTCCGCTTCTCAGAGTGTTGGACCCAACTATAATAATATTTTGACTCCTACAAATTCTTGGCTGACTCAGATAAGTGCAAGTTGATATGTTCTTTAGGCTATTTAATGTGGCTAATTAAATACAATACATTGTACTGTAACTCACCATATGACTTTGAATTAATCATAACTTTTTGCTCTTAATTTCTTCTGCAAAATGGGAAACTGAATTAAAGTGATTATTAAAATCCACACTAGTATAAAATTATTCCAATTCTATAACTACGAAATTATGAAAAGGAAAATAATTTGACCTTTTAACTGCTTATGAATTAGGTAACAGCACCCCTAAATATCCTTCATAATCAGTGGACAAAATGAATTTATCCTAAAATGTCTGAAGAGCTAACTATTCCTATGAGAGTTTGGAAATATCATTTGGACCCTTGATCTGTACAGCACGTATTATCTAGGGCTATAATAATGCGGCATAACAAACCACTGTGATGCATCACACACATATAGCAGATAATTTACTTTTGCTCCTACATCTATAGGTTGTGTTGCTCTTAATTAAGCTTTTCCAGGCAATTTATTTTCTCTTAGCTAAGACAGACTCATCTGTCTCACGTCATTCCGGGATGACTTCTCAGGAACTGCTGGTTATGCTCAGAATGATCTCTCTTTCTCCAGAAGTTTAGCCTGCCTTGCCTTTTATGGTGCTGGTAACAATGTTTCAGGAGACAGTGGAAGCAAGCAAGAACTCATGAGGGTCAGACTTGCACCAAAAAAATGTCTTAGGTGATTTGCGGGGAAACCAACTCCATCTCCTGGTGGGGAGAAAGTGCATGTATCACAAAAGGCATGAATAAAGAGATGATCAACTGGCAACCATTAAGAAGATGACTCATAGGATTGGGGGAGTTCCAGAAAAGCTTTGGTGCCTAGAAGAAGTGAAGAAGAACTTTAATGTTTTATGCTTTGTTCTGAGGTGCAGGTAAATCACTGGAGTCAGTGTCATACTTTCCAAGCTTGTTATGAGATATTACAAAGGCAGAGTTTAGCCATTTATGCCATGCTACTTCTTAGAGTTTTCTGGTGCAATAAAGGAGAGGATATAAGAAAAAATAAAAGGGCCTTTTTATTTAAAGGACATGGATAGGAGCCCACCAACAGCAAGAGTTTGGCCTTTTCCTCTGCCCAGATATGGGGGTGTGGGGTATACCTGATCTTTGACTGGATGTGCTGCTTGGGCTGGGCACTGATGATGTATGAGGAGCTGACTGGAATTTTTTTTGCACTCACTGGGAAAGGAAGGAGGTAGTTGTAAACGGGGAAGAAAGAGGAAGTGGCCGTCAGGGTAAGCATCCCCGATGATTTGGCCTTCCACCATGTTGAACTGCCACCATAATGTCCTGTAATTTAATTCTAGTGCAAAACTCTTTCACTCCTGAGGTAAGAACCTTGTGAGTACTCTGTCAAACGCTACATGAACTCTGCCATTTTCACCTCTGGTAGGAACATGCATTCTTCCTGGTTTTGTGAAAATGTCAGGTAGTGTTTCCTATGATCTTTCTTTGTGGTTCTGTTTCTTAGCTTTGGATACTTCTTAACTAATCTTGGCCTAGCAAAATACTCAGTAGGGGCTCTCTTCATATTTGTGGAGTTGTCTTTGCTCATCATTCTCCTCTCTGTGCTTTGTTCTCTGAACTCTAGCAATATTGGCCTCCTCAGATTCTCAGGCCTGCCTTCTCATTAGAGATTCTGCCATTTTTGCCTCCCACTGTGGAAACTCTCTTTCTTCACTGCTAGTGATTATAATCACTTCTTTCCTCTATGTCCAATTCTTCCTTTTTTGCCCTCTTTCTTTTTCTTCTTAGCATCTTTGACTCAATTTGGCCTTCAAATATATCTTTGAAATGTATATATATATATTTTTTTGAATATATATATATATAGAAATATATATATAGCTATATTTTTGATTGTCAAGTGTAGGAGTATATATTGTATTGCTAATATATATACTTTAAGTGTTTTCTTAACCTTTTTTATTGTCGTTATCATCTGTATAACATCTTAGAATTAAGGTCAACTGGTAATTATTATTCCTTTCTGTTAAAATGATATTCATAGTCTGAGGATTAATTAGACACCACTTATATTATGTTCTGTAGAAGAAATGTGCAGGATAAGTAATGCTATCTCTAGCTTTTAGGTCGATGTCAATTTTGCTTTCAATTGTCTTCCCCAAAATTAGGTGCCATATGCTAGGATACAATTTCTCATTAGTTTATCTGCAACCTGCTTAGAAGAATACTCCAAGCTGACATGAAGAATGCTTTCTAAATCTCGCAGAGTCTGCTTTGGCTATGTGCTTTGTTGAAGCTGCTATTTGGTATTAGTTTGGTTTTTGCTTTTTTCTCCAGTCATTGACCTTGAAGTTACAATTCACAGGTACATGAGGTATGGATTGAACATTCAAAAACCCTCAACTAATGTGGTACTGAGAAAGATATTTTTAGAATAAGCTTTTCTGTCTAGTATGAGCTCCCAATTAATTATACACAATTTAGCGATGTTATGTGTCATCTGAATTTTCCCTCAGGCCTGGCCCCTCCAGTCAGTCATTTAGGAGCAGCTCTTCTTTCTCCTCTCTGCTTCTCTGCTTCAGCATCCATAACTTATTTCATATAATGGCAGGGAGAGAATGCATTATACAATCTTGTTATAATCTAGGATAAACATTATTAGCGTGGATAATTGACTGTTAAATAATCATAGTATTTTTAAAGGTCACATGACTATTTTAAGGATTAGCTGAGCAATTTCTTTGCTTCATAGCCTGCATAGACAATCTAGTATAGACTATTTAATTATTTATTGTATACATCAAAACTATAAGAGGACTTATTTTAATGGCTTATCACAAAGCTTTATTCATATATAGTTTTATTTTACAAATAAACTAATTCCATGGGAAATATTGAATTACATTTGAATTTAATTGCTCCTTATTGGTTAATGGTTCAAACTCTTATGGATGCAACTATTTGGTGATATGTGTTATATATCTAACATAACCTTTCATTTAAAATTAAGGTTCGCTTATATTTTTGTTATTAATTGTGAAACATTAAAATGTATCATGATGTTTAAAGTTTTTAATAATGTATTACCTATCTAAGATTCTTTTACAAAAATGAATTCCAGGGATTTGGAAATTAAGTGTTTTCAGTTTTTTTGAAAGCATTTTCGTGTATGTGTAGATAATTATTATGGTTGTTATTCTGTGCGTATGAGCTGTAAATGTTTGTAAAAATAAGTATACTTATAAAACTGTTTGAACTATGTATGATACATTAAAGCATACTTATTTATAATAAAATTTGAACAAAGAGCTTATATAGCTATAATTGTGTATACTTAATATTAAGTATAAAAGTAGTTCATAGTACTAAACGCTAGCCTTTATAGATTTCAGTTGTTTATTAAAATGGATCATATTTCAAAATAGAACATTTTAGATTCATAGATTCAAATATATGCATTCTTTTTGTTAAATACATTTAAGCTTTTGCAGCAAGTCGAGTGGCTACAGTAGATTAATAAAAATTTATTTTATAGACATGCATAACCTTATGTATTTTCATCTCTTTAAATTTTGTACAGATCTATCTAAAATTACATAACCAATATAAAATTTTAATATGCTTTTTCAGAATACAAATACCAATCTGAACATGAGAAAAAGAACAAATGCTTTGGTTCACTCGGAATCTGACGTTGGCAGTAAAACCGAAATGGGAAATCATTTGAATAAATCTGCCACTGGTGTTCAAGAATCTTCTGAGGTCACACCGAAGTCCTATTTAGCTTCCAGTCCAAACCCTTTCAGTCGAGCCAATGCAGCTGAGACGATATCTGCTGCGAGAGGACTGCAGTCTCTTCCTTCTTCAACTCCCAGCCGAACTGGGTTTGTGTCAAGACAAGTTGCAGCTGAATCGACTGCTTCTCGTCGTGTTTTTGGGTCAAGACTGGCGCGTGTTAAGACCACAGTTAATACCACAGGGGCTCCTGGGAAGCTGTCAGCTGCCACTCCTCCCCCTGCTCCACCGCCTTCTGGGTCTGGTACAAGTAAAATAGACCAATACGCACGTATTCTCTTTCCAGTCACATTTGGGGCATTTAACATGGTCTATTGGGTTGTTTATTTATCTAAGGACACTATGGAGAAATCAGAAAGTCTAATGTAATTTTGTTGCTATAATAGTTTCCTAAAAGCTGATGAAAATGCAGACTGTCTTTTTAAATGTTTTTAAAGATGATTATTCTTAGATACTAAAATAAAAATTCTACGTAATTTTTCCATTTAAAAAATGCAAGCCAGTTATTGCGAGAGTTAATTAATTCCTCAGTGAAGAGAATGTGAACCATCTTTCTTTTCAGAATGATGATTTAAAAAGGATCTATTCAGTGTTCAAATTAGATGGAATACAGACTATCCTGGAACAAGAGAAATAGGGCTATTAGAGATATGTGATGCATATTTTTGCATTGAAATTTGAAAACAGACAACAGCATTTTTAATTCCCTATGAATATCAGCCAGCTACCATAAATTTCCCAGTGGCACTCCCCTTAACCAGAATTGTTTATTATTTATAACATGTACTGACCTTTGGTGATTGTCTGAGTGCCTGCAAGGAAAGAATTTTCTTGTTAAAATATCAGTGAAAGGACAATGGAACAAACCTAATCCTGACTGATACAGTGGAACCTATGCTGCATCCTAAACAAAGACATAGACCAGGGAAATGTGTCCTTTCATATATTGGTCCAAGCAGTATTTTACGGTTGACTTGAAATCTTGTGCTCCAAGCCAAAGTTAACTCATTGTATGAATTCTTTGTCATAGGAACTCCTTCATTTATGTACTGTTTTCATTCATCACGTATTTATTCAGAGACTGAAGCCCACTATTTTCAGGCACTGTGGTAGACAGTCTCTTACGGAAGTTCTTTCACATTTATCTACAGTATCACTTAAATATTAGAACAGCCAATGCATGCTGACCAACCATAATTTAGCAGAGGACATTGCATTCTTCAATGAAGGGAATTTAGTTAGAGTCTGACAACATATCCAAAATAGAGGATACCAAGTATATTTGTTCACATAGCCACAATGATGTTAGTAAATGTTAGTACAGTTTCAGCAATTGGTTTCCAAAATACAATGAAAAGGTGGTACAGAGTGTTCCATAAGTGTAAAACACTATGTACCTGAAAAGAAAAATCTGGACACTGTAAGACCTAATAGGTTACCTGTCTCCAATGTGATAAGGATCACATAATAGAATTTGATGACCATCATAGAATCATCCAGAAATAATAACTCTACACAGACATTTTAGATGCTTTCCCCAGCGTAAGTCTGTAAGAGTCCGTGAAATGCTAGCCATACTAGAATGTTTTGTGTCCACAGTTTCACATTTTTTGGTAGATGTTTATTTGTTTTCTGAAAATTGCAGTAAAGTTTTATAACAATTGGGAGTATGTCCAAATTAAAGGAGGGAAGGAAAATGTCATTTCCACAGAATGGAATGCTACTAACTCTGTGTGCTGTTTTTCAGGATATCCACATGTTGACTTCTATGTTTCATTCTATAGGCTTAAATGTATAATTGAATTTCTTGCAGCTGTTTTACACAGTTTAATCCAGGTCCAATCTCCAGATTTTCTCATTCTACTTGTTTCTTCATGCTCTAGGAATATGCGCGCGCGCGCGCGTGTGTGTGTGTGTGTGTGTGTGTGTGTGTGTGTGTGTGTTTGAATGTGCTCTGAATGTTTAGAGGAATGTTCTGAAAAAAATGGCCACTTTGCAGACAGGATTTCTTATTCCTTAGAAATTGTATTAATAAATTGGCATCAACTTTTCACTTATTGCATTGCCTTGTGACACTTGTATATGAGATATAAAATGCACAAATGCCAAATATCAATTGTAAGTCATATCTAAGAGTTCCTTATTTATCTCTCTAGGTCTTGCATAGATTCAACACATTTTAAGTCTGAAAGATACTGTAGTACTCATGTAGCCCAAATCCCTCATTTACAAGTTGATTTTAGTACAATAAAGCCCAATAAATTCTGTGTATATGTATATATTTAATAAAGAGCACTTGTACAAAAAATGGTTATCATAAGTTATTTCATGAATGTGAATGTATTTCTGGCCTTGAGGAAAATGCTTTGAATTGTGGTGAGAAGCTGTTTTCATTCAGTAGTCCATTAAAATCATCCTATTGCTTTGGTGAGGAACTCAAGTCTTACCTATTCTTATATAATTTATTAGCTTTCTTCTAAAAATTATTTACATTTTATAGATTCTTTTGGGGGGGACTACCAGGGTTCCAACTCATGACCTCGCACTTACCACGCAGGCACTTATGCTACTGAGCTAAATCCCTACTCCCCATTTCTAAAGTGACAAAAATATACGATTTAAAATTTGGAGACCTGAGGTCCAGATAAACTCATTTTTTTTCTTAACTTTTTATTTGAAGTATTTAAAAATAAATTAGGTGGGGAGGCAAAGAGAAATAACAGAATTAACAGAGGCTTCTTAGTTGTTCATTTGAAGAATAAATTGACTAGATAATCTAATCATTAGTATAAAAAGAAATTATTTCACTTGCATACAGTGTTCACATATGACTTATTTTCTCTAACTGAATTTCATCAAATCCAGTGATTTCTTTTTTGTCTTCACTTCTGATTTCTCAGTAACTCAGAGCTATATAAGCTAAAATATTTGTATGAAAAGTCTATCAATTTTCACCATTAGAAAGTTTTAGAGAATAATTAAGGGATCCCCAACTCCTTGTAATGTGTGAAAAGGAACAGTACTTCGGGCTGTGAATGGTGCCTTTGAATGTTACTGCCTTTTAAAAATGAAATTCAGAATTGTTTTATTTAACTCATATAGCATTTGTATTTCAATTTTCAATCCAAAATTGGCCACTAACTGCAACATAGTAATTCCCAATGTCCCCTAAGCATGACTAAGTATAAAAAATATAATTACATGGTTAATACAGAGTTAAAAATGACCTTCATTTGCACATATTCATAGTGTTTTGAACAACACATATTTAAGTTGAGCTTCTCAAATCTTGAATTAAAGTAGGCAGATAGTAGTTACCCTCTTTGTAGATGAAATGAGTCACAGAGAATTTGATGACAAAGATCAAAGCAAAAGGCTGGATAAACTTTTGAAAGGTCGTTTTTCCAATCACCTCACCTTGTCAGTAGCCTTGTTTCAAGCAATACATAAAACATTTGTGTTTTATTTCATCCACAAAGTGGTCGGTTCTGCTTAGCCTAAAGGAAAACCAACAAAAACAAACAAAAAGCAACATAAAAAAGTTCACTTTTCAGTTCCCTGTTTTGCAACATCCCCTCTTTGAGATTTATGAATAATCTCCAGCAGAAAAGCAGTGGAAAAGTCTGTCACTTTATTGATTGATTGGATGAGTGATTTCAGTATTAGGGATTGAACCCAGGGTTTTTGAACTGAGCTATATTTTCAGTCCTACTTTTCTTTTTTTTTCTTTTATTTTATTATGAGACAGTCATGTTAAATTGCTAAGGCTGGGCGACAACTTGAAATACTCCTACTTTAGCCTCTCAGAGTGCTGGGATTACAAATGTGGGCCACCATGACTGGCTGGATTACTTGATTTTTCATTTTGACTATATTTTTGGTTTAGAAAATCACTTAACCTCAGACTGCCTTCTTATGCAAAACAGGGAGGAGATGGATTAAATAATATTTTTATGGGGCTGGGGATTTAGCTCAGCAGTATAAGCACCTGCCTTGCGAGCAGGCAGTCGTGATTTCGATCCCTGGTACCGATAAAAAGGAAAAAGACAAAAAAGAAAAAAACAATAATATTTTTATGTCTCAATATTTTGTCCTTCTCACAATAAACACAAGTCTACCATTGCAATAAATACACCCTGTATTTGAGCCATGAATATGTGAACATGGGAAAAATTATCTCTGCTTAACAACTTTAAGATATTACTTAACTCAAAGATAGATCTCCTTAACACAGAGAGGAGAGGGGGAGAGGACTTGAAATAGTAAAGAAAACTTCACTTAGATTAGATGTGTGAAGATTTTATCCTTTAAGGACTAAATAATAATGGGTTATTTTTCTTTTCTGGTTTTTCATTCATTCTTACTCACTGGGCTTCTGAGTGCTGAGTACTGTGCTAATTTTCAGGTAAACAAAAATAAATAAAACGAGTTCCTTTACTTAAGGGTAGTCACCTTTGGCAGTGATGACAGATGTGTAGACAAAGAATCATGGAGTGATTAAGTGCTTGGGTAGCACAGAGCAGGGCTAAAAATAAGATGATGCTTGTCTCAAGCACAACATGTATGGAGACCTCAAAATCCATCAGAACTAAGAGAAACGTTTTAATGGAGGTCTATGAGTCTAGAGGTAAACGAATAAAATTTCTCATTTTTCCTTTCCAAATTAATCTTAGACTTCCACTTCATTTTTATTTTAAACCCCAGTGACTCACTGTCATTTGTAAAAATGAAACATGACTTAGAGAATTAGGAACTGCTGAAATTTAAGAAAAACCTCAAAATCCTACTACCCAGAAGTTAACACTTCATGAAGATAAGGCCAGATATCATTGATTAGATAGATGTTACTATGTAGAACAGTAAATTGATTGAAATACACAGTGTTGTAAGAGCCCAACATGCCATACGTGGTGGTGTTACATAATGAAAAACAGTCACTTTTCTAAGATAAAATTGTGGCATAAAACTGAAGAAATTGTTGATATTTAGACAGCTTTCTTCGAAGTGAGAAATTTTAGGAACTCAGTTGCTTTTCATCCAGACATCAATCTCTGTTTTGGGAACAAAGATTCTCCTCTTATATGTCTAAATAAATTTTCAATACTTATTATGTTAAACTTCTTCACCTCTATAACAGTCTTTATAATTGTTTTATGGTTATAATGTTTTATCAGCTTTTGTCAACTGTACCCAAGGAAGTTTTTCATAGCTTTTTAATTTCTAGCATATTTTTTAATTCCATATTTTTCAACTATGCTCTGGTACTCTGCCAATTCATTTGCATCTCTTTCTGACTTTTTCTCTTTATTGAAACATTGTATCTGTTTTGAGCTTCTCTATTAATGAGCACGTGGTTTGAGACATTTTTTGTTGTTTTTAAAACTACAGAGAACTACGAATACAGTTATTTCCTCTGCGCCCCCCCCCCCTTTTTTCTTCTGGTATAAACTAAGTCTGCTTTTCTATTGTGTTTTCAGCGCCTTTGCTTGGATGGGGTCTGCTTTCTTACTATTAATCTGAGAAAGAAACTGGCTATTCACTGAATTTCCGTGTGGGAAGCGATCGGAGGCTGAGTCAGACCAGCCCACAGAAGCTATTTAAATTTCGTGTTTCAAGCCCACCTCCTTAAATCTGTTTTATCTTTGGCCCAAGAACCATATTTTTTTTTCTTTATTTTTGACATTCAGGGGTCTGTGCAGTTAACAGTGTGAAAGTCTCTCAGTCCCACTGCTCCTTTGTTGTTACCCCCAGTAAGTATTACTCCTTGTCTTCCCCTTCCCCCCTTTAATCTGACATTCTGTATTTTTCCAGCAGACTTCATGAGTCTCAAACACAGTTTATCAGCGTTCTTTCATGGATCTCTATCTTCTGCCATTTGAAAACATGTAGCTTAAATTATACAATTTGGCTTTTCCCTTGCTTTGTACACCTTGTACAGCTTCAAACAAACCATCTCTGGAGGACATCTCACTTTATGAAATCTATAACCTGCCCACGCTATGTGCCAGTCACTTTCCTTTCTATTAATTAAAATATCTCCCCATGGGAAAGCTCCTTGTCACACTCTGTCATCAATTACTTGTTAATTAAAAAAGTCATAGGCTTAAATGTTTTCAGTTTTTCATTATTTATGCTATTCTTCAGGGTTTTATAAAAGAAATGAAATTGTAAATACTTTTATTCCATCACCTTTAATGTAATCACTACCATTTGTGCAAGAATTTTCATTTAACTATGGGTTGACCGTAGTATCTTTTACTAAGAAAATAACCATAACTATGATTTTTTAAATCTTGCATATGTCTGGTCACATTGGAATTCAACACTAACCCTTGATAAAATCTAGACTGAGTCAACTTCATGGCAGGCCAGAATACTAGAAAGAAAACTGCTTTAGCTTTTTTTTTTTTTTTTTTTTTTTTTTGTACTGGGAATCAAACTCAGGACTTTGTGCTTGCCCAGCAGGTTCTTACGCTGAGGAAAAGGAAACGTAAAGAAATAATTCTAAGTAAAAGGAAACTCATGATTTCCTGAGCAGCATTTCTGCAAGATTTTTTATTTTCCCTTAGGGAACACCAGAGATTGTTCCTTCGAGAATGCTTCCCTTTTTTTTTCTCTCCCCCATTACTTTTATTCCAAGTCTTGGCCTTCAGTCTTGTATTTCTATTTCACTGCTAATTTTGGTGGACTAACTGTATTTTCCTGTCCTTCATTTCACTAAGAGATTATTGTAGTGTCCTGTTTATCTAACAGGACAAAAATGTTTTAAGATCATTTAATGTTGAGGTCACTGGAAATCTTAAGAATGTTTATTCTTTCTTCAATAGTACACCTTTTCTCTGTCTCCAGTTACATCTGTTAGAAAATAAAGTATCCATTTTCAAAGTAAATGTTAAATAAAATGATGTCCCCTCTTTTAACTAGTATTTAGCTTCCCTAATTCAGAAGGAAAAATAGAACTATGTGAATATAATTCATAGCAATATTTTATTAACAAGTCCATTAATTTTACTGAAAATACTAAAGCAAAAGAATTATACAAATATATATGAAATATCACCAGATATTCTAGGCAGTGGCTGATTTGATAATGTTCATCAAGTAAGACAAAATAAATTAAATATATTCTATGCTAAACATTAAAATATAATGCAGATTATGCTCTCATTTCATTTTTCTATTGCATATATTTCATCTAGTTTTATTTAGATTTTCATCACCTTTCCTCACTCTGTGAAACTCTACTTATTATAAGATACAACTTACTTTGGAAATATCTTCCAAGTATGCATTGAGGGGTTTTCTCTG